CGCTTGTGTCATTTGCTTATTGCGCCGTAACCATGGATAATCTTCATTGTTTATCAGGATGCTTGGGTCAGCCTTGACATTGAAGGAAGAAATTTCATGAAAATTTTCATAATCTTCAGACATGTCTGTCTTGCCGTCCACTCCCAGGATGTCCCTTTTTCCTGAAAGAACTATGTGGCGCTTTGACCCATCGTATGATGTATTCGCTTCCTTATCTTTTCTTTTTCTCGGTTTGGTAGACATGTCCTTCACATAGATAACCTGTGCCACATCATTGGCTAGGACGAACGGTTCGTCAGTGTACCTAAGATTTTTCAGATCCATTGTTGTCATTCCGTACTGTGGGTCTACCTGTACCCCGCCGCCTAACAGATTGACCCATTTGCACTTAAACAAAGGGACCTTAAAATCAGGTCCATAGTCAAGTTCCCATATGTCCACTATGTAACCATAATATGTGTCCTTTCCGCTCTCGATTGCTGCATCAAAGCGGACACCGCTGTTTTGGTTGGTGCTCTTTTGATCTTGGGCGATCGTGTAAAATGTATTCTCATTTATCTCGTATTCTTTGTAAGTCAATACAGTCAAAGATGGTCCCCTGGACAACAAGTACAACTCATCACAAACAGTGTTGTCACCTCTGAGACGTGTTTCCAACCAACTGCTGAAAGTCCTGATGTGTTCACATGTAATCCAGTCGTCGCACTGCTCCGGGTGTTTGGAGCGCAGACTGTTCTTGTGTTCATCGACATACGTGGTCACCAAGGTAGAGTTCTATAGAACTGTGTAGTGTGCTTGAGACCAAGAATATCCATCCCTGCATATTATTGAGTCTCTTCCAAGAGTGCCTTTTCCAGTCAGTCTCCCCTCATACCGCGATTTAGGGAGACCTATCTTGTTAAGGCCAGGAATGAAGTCAACACAAAACCCGATAACATCCTTTGTTTGATGGCCCATGGAGATGCTTCCTTCTGGCCTAGCGCGGTTACGGACATATTTCTTTAGGACTCCCATGAACCTCTCAAAGGGGAACATATTGTGTAGAAATACGGGCCCCAGGATGACAATCTCGTCGACTAGATGAACTAGGACGTGCTTCATGATATTGAAGAAGGATGGTGGGAACACCAGCTCGAAACTGACAAGACATTGCGCCACATCACTCCTTAGCCTTGGTACGATTTCTGGATCGATCACCTTCTGAGAGATTGCATTGAGGAATGCACATAGCTTCACAATGGCTGATCAGACGTTTTTCGGTAGAAACCCCCTCAATGCAACCGGAAGTAGTTGCGTCATAATCACGTGGCAGTCGTGAGACTTTAGGTTCTGAAACTTTTTCTCTGGCATATTTATTATTCCCTTTATATTCGACGAGAAGCCAGTCGTGACCTTCATACTGAGCAGGCATGCAAAGAAGATTTATTTCTCTTCTTTCGTAAGAGCGTAGCTGGCAGGACCTTTATACTGTTTCGGAGGCATGCCGTCTTTTTCGGGCAAACGTTGCAGGTCCTCTCGTGTCTCAGGTGTATCTTTTGTCTTTCCATACACGCCCAAGAAGCCTAGCAGGTTCACGCAAAGGTTCTTCGTCACGTGCATCACGTCGATTGAGGAGCGGACCTCTAGGTCTTTCCAGTAGGGTAGGTCCCAAAATATAGATTTCTTCTTCCACATGAGTGCGTGTCCCTCAGCGTCATTTGGAATAGCTAGTCCACCGGGACCCTTTTCAAAGATAGTGTAAATCATTGACCATAGCAAGCACGTGATCACCGGTGCGCATGGCGGGCTTCTTCCGGTGATATGCCTCGCCTTTGAAATGCTTGCCTTTCTTTCGACATTGATGGTTGGTCGGAAGAAATCGATGATGGCCCAGGTACACATTCTTCCTGCATTTGTCCAGGTATATACTTTCAGTGTCATCTAAACAGTGCGTGCATGCGTGGTATCCTTTGTTTGTCTGTCCTGAAAGGTTACTGAGAGCGGGCCAATCGTTGATGGTCACGAACAGCAACGCCTTAAGGTTAAATTCCTCCTGTCTGTGCTCATCCCACGTACGTACACCGTTTCCATTCCACAGCTGTAAAAGTTCTTCAACTAATGGCCTTAGGTACACATCAATTTCGTTGCCGGGTTGCTTAGGGCCTTGGATGAGAACTGGTATCATAATGAACTTCCGCTTCATGCACATCCAAGTAGGAAGGTTATACATACATAGAGTCACGGGCCAGGTGCTGTGGTTGCTGCTCTGCTCCCCGAAAGGATTAATGCCATCCGCGCTTAAAGCAAACCATACATTCCTTGGGTCCTTTGCAAACTCATCCCAGTACTTTCTCTCGATTTTTCTCCACTGCGACCCGTCAGCGGGTGCTCTCAACTTCCCATCTTTCTTTCGGTTCTCACTGTGCCATCACATCAACTTGGCATGCTCTTTGTTTTTGAACAGACGTTTCAACCGTGGTATTATAGGAGCATACCACATCACCTTCGCAGGAACCCTCTTCCTGAGGGGCTCGCCGTCAACATCACCATGGTCATCTCGTCTGATCTTATACCGCAACGCACCGCATACCGGGCATGCGTTCAAATCCTTGTATGCACCGCGGTAGAGGATGCAGTCATTAGGGCATGCATGTATCTTCTCCACCTCCAATCCTAGAGGGCATACGACCTTCTTTGCTGCGTATGTACTGTCGGGCAATTCATTATCCTTTGGAAGCTTCTTCTTCAATATTTTCAGTAGCTTCTCAAATCCTTTGTCAGCCACAGCATTCTCTGCCTTCCACTGCAGCAATTCCAGTACGGTACCGAGCTTTGTGTTGCCATCTTCGCAATTGGGGTATAACCCTTTTTTGTGATCCTCTAACATGCGATCGAACTTCAGCTTCTCTTTTTGACTAATGCATTGCGTCCTTGCATCGACAATGACCCGGCGGAGATCATCATCATCGGGCACATTGTCTGGTTCCTCTTGATCTTCAGCAGCTTCACCCGTGGCAGCATCATTGGGCACATCGTCTGGTTCCTCTTGATCTTCACCAGCTCCCCCCGTTGCAGCATCACCGTATTCAGGGGGCACATAGTTGTCATCGTACTCTTCTTCTTCGCCGTCTTCCATCATAACCCCTATTTTTTCGTGCCTCGTCCAAACATTATAGTGTGGCATGAAACCCTTGTAAAGCAGGTGGCAGTGAAGGATTTTCCGGTTAGAGTAAGACCTCGTATTCCCACATTCAGTGCATGGACAACACATAAAACCATTCTGCTTGTTTGCCTCAGCCGCATCGAGAAACTCATGCACGCCCTTAATGTACTCGCGGGTGTGTCTGTCACCGTACATCCATTGCCGGTTCATCTGCGTGCATTATCTATAATTAAGTGTCCAAATTAATAGAAGTTCATCATCACATTAAAACCAAAGTGCATACATAGTTCTCATCTAACAACATATAGCTCTCCAGAGCATCTAATTAATTAAACCATACATTGAAACTATGTAAAACATTTCAATGCGAAAACAAATGCGATCATAATCGCAACCAAGGTAACAATTGATCCAACGACATAATGATACCAAGCCTCGGTATGAATGGCATATTTTCTAATCTTTCTAATCTTCAAGCGCATTGCATCCATCTTGATGTTGTGATCATCGACGACATCCGCAACATGCAACTCCAATATCATCTTTTCCTCCTCAATTTTTTTTATTTTTTCCTTCAACAAATTGTTTTCTTCTTCAACTAAATTTAACCTCTCGATAATAGGGTCGGTTGGCATTTTCGATTCTCATACATCCTAGATAAATAAAATCTATGTCACGTTGGTCGGCATAATTTTTATAAACAATAAATAAACCAATAGTTATAAAGATAATATACATACCAAATCCGAATCATAGACAGGACGAGCGCCGACGGGGGCGGATACCAAAACCATCGCACTATATAAGATGCAATAATAAATGTAAGAAAATGATACAAGTATCTATCTAAACATACAAGTAAGAATATTTTTTCTTTCAGAAAGAAGATAAGAACAAGAGGCTCACCACGGTGGTGTCGGTGATGAGATCGGCGCGGGTGATCGACGGCGGTGAAGACGGGGATGGGGCGTGACGGACCGCTAAATCTAGACAAATCTCGAGGAAAATGGAGCTTGGAGGTCGAGCTTCGAGAGGAGAAAGCTTAAATAGTGTGGCTCGGGCATTCCATCGAACACCTCATGTGCATAGGAGGTGAGCTAGAGCACCACAAAGCCCTCTCCCCCTCAACCAGAAAAAACAAAGCACTGTGCTCTGCTCTTGCGCGAGGGGGTATATATAGACACCTCATTGGTCCCGGTTGATGACATGAACCGGAACTAAAGGGAAGCCTTTGGTCCCGATTTAAGCCACCAACCGGGACCAATGGTGGTGGGCCAGAAGCGAGGCCCATTGTTCCCGGTTCGTCCCACCAACCGGGACCAAAAGGTCCAGACAAACCGGGACCAATGGCCCACGTGGCCCGGCCGGCCCCCTGGACTCACGAACCGGGACCAATGCCCACATTGGTCCCGGTTCTAAACTGAACCGGGACTAATGGGCTGAGCCGGCCTGAACCATAGCCCTGTTTTCTACTAGCGACACCTGTGCACGGACTTGGCCGGCAACCGCGCTAAGATGTCCTCGATGACATGGTCTGGGAGGATAGGGCTTAGCCCCGCGTCCAGCCCCGCCATGGGTGGGCCTCGCTGTCGGCATGTTGCTGGCCGGCCGGCGGCGTGTGGGTGTGAATTTAGAACAAATCGATCAACGTGTTGAGCCCGTACCTATGAGCACTTGTTCTCGGATCGTACTCCTACACGGTCTACTTGTCCGTGTAGGTTTCCTCGATCGAGTCCTCCAGATAAATACATGCACGGACGTGTGTTTTCTCTTGCGATCGAAAGTCGCTCTCTACGCGCACACGTGCCGAGTACTCTGTGTTCCACAAATCGAATCAAGCACAGGCAAAACAAGAGCCATGGGTAACGCCCAAGTCGGACCGACCAGGAACCTCGCCGATGCCGCGCGCTCCGTGCGGACGTTCAAGATCGACGGCTTCAGCTCGACTTCCACGGCCCCGGCCACGGTAGCCAGCGGTCACGACGAGTGCATCGTGGTATGCTCCAGGTGGAGCGTCGGCTGGCACGAGTGGGAGATCCGCTGCTACCCTGCGTCCTCGGTGTGCAGCATGTGGATGTCGCTCAAGCTCGTGCTCCTCGCCCATCCCGCCGCCACCGGAGACGTCGTCACTGCGCGCCTAGACTGCTGGCTCGTCGATCCCGCGGGTTTGGCCGAGCAGTCGGAGCCCAGGACGGTGTCCGCAGCCTTCGCGCGCCACTGCGGCGGCGAGTCGGCGCCGCTCGTGCTGGCGCACAGGCGCGACCTCGAGATCTCCGGCTACCTCCGGGGCGACGGCACCCTCACCGTGAAATGCGCCATCACGGTGCTCCGGGAACAGCGCCCAGGCGTGGACGTGCCCGCGTCGCTTCCTGTGCCGGCACCTAGGGGAGCTCCTGCGGAGCGGGACGGGATCCGACATCACGTTCGTTGTCTCCGGCGAAACGTTTGCCGCGCAGCGCACAAGGTCGTCCTGGCCGCGAGGTCACCGCTCTTCATGGCCGAGTTCTTCGGGGACGCGAGCGACAAGAAGTGCGCGCGGCGCCTGGAGGTCCACGGCATGGAGGCGGCGGAGTTCAAGGCCATGCTGCACTTCATCTACACCGACACGACAACGGAGCTCGACCGACACGACGGTGAGGAGTCGGTGGCGTTGACCTGTGGCCTCCTCGCGGCCGCGGACAGGACGGCGGCCACGATTCTGAATCTGGCGGAGCTGAACAACTGCCCACGGCTCAAGGCGAGGTGCGTTCGCAAACCTCTTTTTACCGGTGCAGAGATGTACCGGTGCTAAATCCACCCTTAAATTCTTTTGAGATTGGTGCACGCGGTCTACATGCATACTAGTATTCCTTTGTATTCTGTTCAACATCATCATGTATGAAACGTCTTGTCAACTCTTGTCAGCACTTTTTGTCAGTATGATGCATGTATGGCTCAGACATACTCTCCTCTTCAGGCCCCCATAACAAAGGTACCCATTTAAATTTCATTTGACATTTTTAACCGTTAATATCTTTTAAACCAAAATTACATATGTGAAATATTTTATATATTTGATCTCCGGGTGTCAAGACCTTTAGAACAAGATCAATTTTGGATAGATTTCAAATACATTTAATTTTCAACATTTCAGTTAACTTATTTCACTCTATGTATTCTGTGTGAAACTGCTTATTTCAGTATTTGAAATTTATTTCACTCTATATATGGAACATATGAAACATGTTATTTCACTCTGTGTGAAACTGCTTATGTCAGTCAGATTTAAAAATAACATGTTTCACACATTTCAAAAAGTAGCTATTTTCATAGATCTCACTTAGTTCAAAAATCTAATTTCACTAATTTCATAGATTTTAATTACTGCAGAGAAATATGTGTTTGAATGATATTTTTTATATGAGTGAAATAGTTTTTTAATTGAAATATTATTTTTGTGAAAAATCCTTATTTATTTCTGTATATTGTGAGTGTAATGTGTTTTCTGAAACTAGTGAAATGAGCGGAATTTATCTTTTGTAACGAGTAAAATTACTTTTTGAAACAGGTGAAATATAGTATTTCAATTGACTGAATGTAATGTGTTTTCTGAAATAAGTGAAATTAGTTTCTTGAAACGAGTGAAACAAAGTTTGAAAATATTTTTTTTGTGATGTGTAAAATAAGTTTTTTAAACAAGTGGAATATAGTACTTCAAATGAGTGAATCTAATGTGTTCTCTGAAATGAGTGAAGTAAGTTTTTTCAACTGAGTGAAATCAGTTGTTTGAAATAAATGAAATATTAGTTTGAAATAATAAAATAAATTTGTAAATGAGTGAAATCCGTATTTCAAATTAGTGAAATAATTTTTTTGGAATGAGTAAACTCTGTTTATTGAAATGAGTAAAATCCTATTTTTTGTAATGTGAAATTAATTGAACCAGTAAAAATTCAATCTAGCCAAATTGTATCCAAGACCGGTCTTGTTTTAAAGGTCTTATCACCCTGAATTCAAATGTACAAAAAAATTCATTAATGAAAATTTGGTTCATAAGCTGTTAACCATTCAAAATATGATCAGCAAATAAAATGCAACTACTTTGTTTGGGGGAGAGAACCCATGCGCCGTCCTTTTCCACCAAGTCACATCTAAAGCTGCCACGCATCTGACATGCACAAATGTATTCCTTTGTCTACTGCTTGTATTGTATAGTAAATTATTTTTACTTCATACACAAAAGGTTGGCATGAATCTCAAAGAAAGCAATTGAACGGCAGATTCTCCACCGGTAGCTCCCGGCTCCGGTAAAAAAACTTAGTCGGAGGTGCGTTGAGTTCATCGTCAAACGCCGGCGATTCTTGGTGCCGTGTTAGCGACGGAGGGCTACAAGCAGCTGGAGGCGACCTGCCCTCGGGTGCTGGCTGACCTTCTCAAGGCTGCACGCGGGAGGAAGAATTGATGCATAGCTGGTGTTATGTGTAGTCTAGTACGGAGTAGCACTTAGTTAATTTGTGTCCTGTCATGTTGTTCTAGTGCGTTACTCCTACCAGGCCTTAGCATGATAGACTTTTTGACTGTCTACTCTAATAAGTTATGTCCAACTCCGACGAGAGAGGGACGATGATGGCGGCGTGCCTTCGGCTTGCTTCAGTGCGTGCAGTCGTCACTAGGTGGTCTATAAATCTGGATGTAATTTTCATTATTTCCGGTTTTCAGTGTACTGCCATGATTGAAGAAGAATAAATTGACAGTTTCCCGCAAAAAAGAAACTCAGATAGCCAATTCCATGCTGCGAATGAAAGTGCAGACTAGTTTTGCGGTGTTATAATTGTTGCATGGAAGATATTTTATTCATAAGATCATTTGATTCTATCTTCCGATTTTTCCTGGTTGTAGGGAAATGTTCGAATATGCAGGTTGGTGTTGGTTTTAATCCCACGTCGGCTGTGAGATAATCAAGGGAGACAAAACACGACATATAAAGATGGGGTGTCTCCTTTTAACAGGCTAGTCTTTTGAGGGAGAGGGCCTAAGGCTTCTCATAAGTCGGTGTTGCTCTTAGGTTGGGGCTGATGGACACATGTGGATCAGAAACGAAAATGTTAACAGACTCGGGATTGTGTAACAGTTTGGATGAAATTTTGTGCATCATTCAGGTTTTCATGGGTCATCGGGCCCCCCTAAACGTCTGTGAGCTTGTCTGGGTGTGACCCTGGAAGGCGCTGGATGGCCTCTCATATTGCCTGCTGGGCAACCACACACCGCAAATCTAAAGTCTTAAATTCATGCAATCCATACATGTAGATCATATAGCACAATTTCATCACAATTCAACAGTTCAACAGTGTAACAAAGCAAAATAAATCATAGTTCAATAATTCGGACATGCCAAAAAAACTCAAGTTCGAGCCATGTCTGCCCAATGTGATGATCACTCATCATACGCCATCTGTGCCACCTGCTTTGTTGCGGCAACGGCCCGTTCGGCTTCCACTGCTGACATCGCCGCTCTTCCCGCCTCGTACTCCCTACGTTCGTTAATCTCCTTCTTCCTACCCTTAAGCCACTTCTTTGCTTCCGCATCCAAGAGTCTTCGTCCGCGAACATTATCCTGGAATCCTCCGTGTCTCGAGCTAGTTGCAACCTCTCGTTCTTAATCTCTATTGATTCAAAAATCTGGGCCTTCTGGATCTCCCATTTGAGATAAACTTCTTTCTTGGATACGTAAATTAGTCTGCACATGGTTAGAAATAAAATCCTACATAAAATTTGTAGATCACTGAATATGATATGTTTGATTCACTTGCAATAGTTTTGCGATATTGAAGCGGTAATATAGGGGCATGCTAGTAAAAGAATTAAAGTTGAGTATTAATAATGGTGTTAAGGGAAGTAAGTCTTTACACAAGTAAATATGCATGCATGTAAAGTGGTGGCCGCTGACATTAGTAGTGAGGTTGGAGCATATTTTATCATTGATCCTTATGAGTGGTGGTTGGGGATATGGATTCTCGATCTCCCAAAATACATCTCCATAAATTTTTATCGCGTTCGGACTTCGTTTGATATGAATTTTCTGCGAACAAAAAACATGCAACAAACAAGAACTGTCACTAGGCACTGGATCAATATGTTAGTCCAAGAAAATCATATAAATTTTTGCCAAAAGTATGTAAAAGTTGTAAGATAATGGCATGAAACAATCAAAGATTGTAGATACGACGGAGACGTATCACTCATCGTACGCCATCCGTGCCACCTTTGCCGCGGCCACCGCCCATTCGGCTTCCGCTGCTGCCACTGCCGCTCTCCCCGCCTCGTACTCCTTACGTTCGTTGATCTCCTTCTTCCTACTCCCAAGACACTTCTTTGCTTCCACATCCAAGAGGCTTGCGTCCGCCAACATTATCCTGGAATCCTCCTTGTCTCGAGCTAGTTGCAACCTCTCCTTCTCAATCTCTATTGATCCAAAGGTCTGGGCCTTCTAGATCTCCCATTTGATATACACTTCTTTCTTATCCAACTCTATTTTCTCCCTCTTAATTGTTAACGTGTTTCTTTCAATTTGTAACATGTTGTTCACCCTATCTCAGTCCCAGCCCATCCTTTCTTTTTGCGCATCCAATATGAGCATGTACCTCTCGTCTTTCTTTGTTCTCCCTTGTGAAGAAAAATGCCCGTACAAGTGGTGCACATTTTTGTCGTTGTGGCATCATAGGCAGCCATCCCTTTCTCCCACTTGTTTCCCATCACTTACCGATTATTCATTGGCATGGTGGCTTTTCCATTCTCCCCTACATCTTCCCCCTCTTCGTCACCCAACCCAATTTATTGGTGGGAACGTGTGCCATCATTCTTCCTCTTGCCGGCCTTGAGATCATCCACGTTGTGTCCACTTTCGTTTGCCATCCAATAGCACCAAAAAATGCCCAAAACCAAATGGCTTCTTCTCCATTTGTTTGTACATGGTGGTCGTCACCACCATCTAGCAAACAATAAGTACGAAAATGAGAATTCAACAAAAAAACAAGCAATTCAAATGATGAGAAAGAAAATCAACTTACATGAGTTGCAACTCCCATCCCACTTTCAGGGCGACCAATCACTTGTGCATAGTAGCCGACATACCTGCTTTGTCCTTGAATGATGGACCATTTATGTTAGAGAGAGGTCACATTGCAGATGGTAATGATAGGATGCGGCTCCACATATTCCTTATGTTCATGATAATGCTTCCAAATCTTCTCCTAATACTTGTTTCCCTTTTGCTCTGTGCCACATATAGGGTCCATGCTTGTGGTCAACCAAGATTTAACCAACAAGATATCCTCAAATGTTGTGAAAGCTGGACCTCCTGGCTTGGGTATATATGCCTTTCTTTTCTTGTTGCAGTTTGATGCTCCCCCAACTTCAAACGTAGGAAAATTTGGATCCCTCAATTCATAGCCCGTTTGGGTAGGTTCTTGATTCTCATTGATCATGTCCGACATGATAATGTCCTAAAATTATCATGATTGCAAATGAGCTAACGGTATATGCAACAAATTGATGCAATGACATATGCAACTTAATGATTCAATGGCCTATGCAAGGTATTGATTGGAAAGGAGTAAAAAATGTATCGTGTCTTGCTGCGACATTCCCTCAAACAAGACGTTGGCAAACCGTGTACTGGCACTGCCCGTGCTTGTCCACGCATGTTGGAGCTACGGTGAGTCACACATGTTCTCCTCCTCTGCCTGCTTTGGCAGAAAACAGTCTAGGAATCGCCCATCCGACCGTCGGATCATTGTCGGTCATGGGCGGGCGGACGGTGCCTTCCTTGTCGGCACATGGGGGGCAGCGGAGCGAATGGGGGAAGGGCATATGATAGATACGGCTCGGTCGCGGGAATGTGGACGGAGGGTGGTGGATTTGGTGGACTTGGTCTTTTTGGTGCAATTTGCGGTGGGTCCATCCTTTCTTATTGCTTCCACCAGGATTCAAAAACTACATATTAAGCTAGGCAACAGAAAAATATTGCTCTGACATATTCATGCACTCCAAAGTATTGCATGCAAGCTATTACATTTTCTTCCTTGAACATTAGAGGGTGCCCTACTGAGTACATGATATTTTGCTTAAAAGCTTGTCACGATTATCATTTACAAACAAAAAAGGCATAAGTAAACCTGAAATGATTCATGAGGTAACTGCAGGTACCTTATAGTCACTCGAAATGGGCTTCTGTCCTACAACATCCGTAAACTAATATAAGAGCGTTTAGATGACTACTTTAGTGATCTAAACGCTCTTATATTAGTTTACAGAGGGAGTACTTTATAAATAAATCCATACAACTAAAATAACACAAGGTAATGAGGAAACCCTCTTATAAAGCAGACCAAAGAAAACATTGACATCACAAATGGTAATGGATAACAATGCATGGATGTGCTACTGACTAGCAGCATCTTGATGTCGAGCATGAATACAGAAGTTGCCACATCCCAACAGAGGAACCTGATGTTGGGGAGCGTTGTAATTTCAAAAAAATTCCTACGCACACGCAAGATCATGGTGATGCATAGCAACGAGAGGGGAGAGTGTTGTCCACGTACCCTCGTAGACTGAAAGCGGAAGCGTTAGCACAACGTGGTTGATGTAGTCGTACGTCTTCATGATCCGACCGATCAAGTACCGAACGCACGACACCTCCGAGTTCAGCACACGTTCAGCCCGATGACGTCCCTCGAACTCTGATCCAGCCGAGTGTTGAGGGAGAGTTTTGTCAGCACGACGGCGTGGTGACGATGATGATGTTCTACCGACGCAGGGCTTCGCCTAAGCACCGCTACAGTATTATTGAGGTGGACTATGGTGGAGGGGGCACCGCACATGGCTAAAAGATCAAATCAATTGTTGTGTCTTTGGGGTGACCCCTACCCCTGTATATAAAGGAGCAAGGGGGGAGGTGCGGCCGGCCAGGAGGAGGCGCGCCAGGAGGAGTCCTACTCCCACCGGGAGTAGGACTCCCTCCCTTCCTTGCTGGATTAGGAGAAGGGGGGAAAGAGGAGGGAGAGAGGAAGGAAGGGGGGGCGGCGCCCCCCCTCTCCTTGTCCTATTCGGACTAGAGGGGGAGGGGCGGGCGACCCTGCCCTAGCCGTCTCTCCTCTTCTCCACTATGGCCCATTAAGTCCCCGGGGGGTTTCGGTAACCCCTTGGTACTCCGATAAAATCCCGATTTCACCCGGAACATTTCCGATATCCAAATATATGCTTCCAATATATCAATCTTCATGTCTCGACCATTTCGAGACTCCTCGTCATGT